AGGAACCGGTTAGCAAGCCAGAGATTCAAAAATAGTGTGGACAACTCAACACTTGAAATGACAAATCAGTGCAGAAATCACATGGAAAGATATTTTGAATTGGTAAAAGCAATAAACCAAGGTGCAAACGTGGAAGCAAAACTAGCCTCAATATGGGATGAAGGAAAATCTTTAGTAACTAGAGAAGAGTCAACATCTAGGACCATGGAAGAGGAAATGATAATAGAGCCTAATAAAGAACAAAATATCTCAGAAGATGACAACTATGATGAAAGCTCATACTGGGAAAATATGACAGATGAGGCGTAGTACAATGTTGAAAACACAATGGAAAAATAAAAGTCACTCATAAAAAAAAGGACCACTATATAATTGTATTAGTATAAGACCACTATATAATTGTACTACCCTCAAGAAGGTTTGAAGTCCGGATTTGAAATCTGAATAATTGTACTAGGACCTTATCTCTTAGTAAACTATGTGTGAAATTCAAAGTTGAAGTTTACCCATACTACCTATAAAAAGGGCATGGACTGCGTCTTATAGACAAAGTTAGAATTAGAGTGTTTTGCATCTTATGATAGAAAAATGAGTTCTGAAAATCCTTAGAGTTGAAGTGTGACGTGTGTAAAATATTAAGTGTGTACTACCTACATTATCTATAATATAATTAAATGTTAAGTTCTATAAAACCTCTACCAAAATTGTCTCTTGAAATCTTAAAAATTATTCAACTCAAAACTTTGTGTACAGATCTTATTGAGTTGCTTGTTTCCAAGTTGAAAGCCATAAGAAAGGTGTGTTGGCATTAAGCTCTTAAAGTGAGGCATGATAATATGAGTTGATGATCTTCAAAGAGGCAGTGGACAAAGTAAAGTGGGCTTTTGGTTGAAGGTAAGATCTATTCAAAGAATTATTATATGCTTGGTTAGTAGTATTGTTGAGTGTCACTACTATTAATACCTATCTTAGAATTGTATAGTGACTAACAAAGACGTAGATATATATATATATTGATTAAGGTATGAGTCTATGAATTCCACATCATAAAGATGGGCAATTACAATTAATGCTTTAGAATTAAGTAATAATAGAAAGCTTAACGAAGAGATTGCCTCTTTAAAAAGACTAAGATTTAGATGTTAGCAAAATGCTGAAAAATGGGATCAATTGAGAAGTACTAAAAACCTAGAGGAAATAATGTTTGAATTAGAATTTGTAGACGAATTAATAAAGTTATTAGAAGCTACAATTGGGATTAACAAAACAAAAAGGACTATCAGTGCATGTAGAAACTAATAGTAATATGAGAGTTTATCTTCAATTATATAGATAATGTTAGATTCTATGATCACCAATGTGAATATTATAGGAATAGAATAGTAAAAATTTTAATAGAAATTAGTGATATAAAGGATCCTAAAAAATATCATTTACCAAAACTTATTCAAAAATTAGAAAATTCTATAGCAAATTTAAAAGCAAATCTAAAAAAATTGAAGTATATTAAGCAAATGTTATCTTTATTAGCAGCATAAAGTGAGCTAAATTTGAATAATATTAGTTGTGTAATTGTATTTGTGCGTGAAACTTATTTATGTATTTGTGTGCTAGATAAAGTTTGTATTAGATAAAGTTTGGTATCAAAGCCTAGACTTTCAGAATTTTTAAAGCTAAAGTAAAAAATTTAAGGAAGTTAAAAAACTTCTTAAGAAAAACCAAAAACATTACAGTAACCTTAGTTAACAACTATGGTCAAAGCCAAAAAGCTAATCAAAGGGTTAAAACCTTTAAAGATGGTAAACGGCTAAAATCTTTGACTCGTAACTTGAAGGGCTAAAACTTTTAAAGACGTAAAGGTTAAGGGCTTTTTACAGGTATAAGCCGTAAGAAAGA